GGGAAACTGCGAGATTGTAAACCTTGACCAGACATCCAAAAATAATTCCAAAAAATGAGTAAATTGTTTCAATTCGTAATTACTCCTCACACTATTCCAGCATGGCTCGAAATTGTTTCAAAAGTCATTTTAATACGAATTCATTCCGATTTTAGAAGCTTCCGAACAAGATCAACCAAGCCTATTAGGTAGGGTGGGGAAAGAAATTCCAAAAGTGGAGTAACACAAAGCATGGGAGGTCTCAGATTCCATACAGAATGGTTCAAAAAGCACGCACTTGAAAAACGGCACTCCCCAAAAGTAAATGAGATTTGTTTCTTGAAGGCACCAGAGTTAAACAGGTTCAATCTTGATTCGTACTTGGATGGGAGACCACCAATGAATATCAAGTCCTATAGGCTACATTTCAGAGGAAAGAATTCATGGAGCAAACAGTAGTTGGCACTCAACTTGACATTGTATGTGCATACACACACACACTTAAACCATACTAGAAGAGTCTCCTAGGAAATAGAGTAGTGTGGTGGTTTGATTGTTGGACTGGATGAAAACCAAAGTTTAACTCCCTGGTCATTCATGGAAATCAACTGGATGATGTTGAGCAAGTTATACTCAGAAGAAGACAATAGCAACCTCCCCTCTGCACAAATCCTGACAAGAGAAGATCAGGATAGAGTCACCTGAGATGACTCCATAAGTTGGAGATGACTTCAAGGCACAAACAATGAAAATGCTCCCTTAAACAGAGGTGAGCATTTGATGTGGCGACCTAATGTACAAGGTGAAACACATTAGGCAGATATCTATCTGTTTCCTCATCTTTCCAGTCTGACAGACCTTGTCAACAATTTTGGACAGCTACCAACAAGCTCCTCCAGCAGACAACACCATGAATGGCCAAGCAAAGTGGAAGACATCAAAGCGTATGAATTATCAATACCACAAAATGCTTAAATGCTGCTGACTCTACCATCAACTCATAGAGTATGATGCTAAGGGGATGATGCTTTTTCCCACATTCAGACTTCTTCAATCTCATGTTGAAAACAACAGTTGCATATCCAATACGCTTCTTCGCTTCAGATCAAAGAAATATGGGAAGCCACAGCTAGCGTCCCCATGTGGGAGACAACTGCCTACACCATTGGCAACGGGATATCACGCCATATGATGACATTTCTTTGGGCAGTTAGAATCTCACAGTGTATACTTACAACCTCTTTTGTTATTCACACTTATGGCTATCGAGCAATTGCTACAACTTCAAAGGCCCCCCAAGACCCATCTTAAAATCCAGCCAGTGTACTGAGGGATAGAGATCTGTGCATGGGCGGCTCAACCATTACGCAAAGTAAGCATTCGCAGTATAGTTGATTTTGCCCAGGGGCGCTCTTGAGGCGCTCTTGGGGGAAAATAGACCTTGACATATGCGAGTAGTAGTTACTGAGATGTATAGTTCACCTAAAATCAAAGAGCATTCTGAACTCCACCAATGATGGAATTGAACCAAATAGGGCACACAGAACTCCCATGACGAACAAAATATATATATCAATGATTGGCTTACCGTTTGCTTACCGTTGAATACTGTTTGCTTGCTTACCGTTGAAAATTACCTAGGGCCGCTTCTGGGTCTGTGGCATTGGGAAGGTGGGCATTATGGGATATGTCCAGTACATGTCATCTGATAGGAAGGTTTCAGTGACAAATGACAGTGGGATCACTCAGGTCTCCCTCCTTTTCCTCGTTATACCACTCATTATACCCTCAGTATACCGCTGCATCTGTCTGCATTTCAAGCAGTCTTGGGGAAACTTTCTAACTTGGGGACCACATGGTGAGCCAGAGCAGGTGGGTGGGCCGGTGAGAGGAGGGGTCCTCCCTGTCACTCTGATTGTCACCACATATTACAGTGTGAACTACACACTTGGAGGGAAATGGAATGAGGACGCTCATCTTTAACCTTTAGTACAATTCCAGTCATTGAGCTACTGACGACTGGCACTGCTCGTTCATTTCTGCTGGCTTCCCGCTGCATGGCAGTGATTTATTTATCATGTCAGGAGCAACCAGACAGTTGTATTGCATTTTTAACAAAACAAACAAACAGACAAATCACAACGTTTGCAAGCTTGGTAGTTGATTAAATGTCCTTTGACCAGTAGCTGGCCACTTGGAGTGCCTCTGGTGTTGCTGCAAGGAGGTCCTCCATTGTGCATCATGTGGCAGGGCTCAGGTTGCATTCCAGCAGGTGGTCAGTGGTTTGCTCTTCTCCACACTCGCATGTCATGGATTCCACTTTGTGGCCCCATTTCTTGAGGCTGGCTCTGCATCTCGTGGTGCCCAAGCGCAGTCTGTTCAGCGCCTTCCAAGTCGCCCAGTTTTCTTTGTGCTCAGGGGGGAGTCTCTCATTTTTGGTCTCTCGCTTGCTGAGGTGTTCTAGAGAGTGTCTCTGTAGATCTTAGAAAACTGTTTCTTGATTTAAGTCGTTGATGTGCTGGCTGATACCCAAACAGGGGATGAGCTGGAGATGTCTCTGCCTTGGTCCTTTCATTATTGGTTGCTACTTCCTGGCAGATGTCAGGTGGTGCAATACCAGCTAGACAGTGTAATTTCTCCAGTGGTGTAGGGCGCAGACACCCCGTGATAATGCGGCATGTCTCGTGAAGAGCCACATCCACTGTTTTAGCGTGGTGAGATGTGTTCCACACTGGGCATGCATACTCAGCAGCAGAGTATCATAGCGCAAGGGTAGATGTCTTCACTGTCTCTGGTTGTGATCCCCAGGTTGTGTCAGTCAGCTTTCGTATGATATTGTTTCTAGCGCCCACTTTTTGCTTGATGTTCAGGCAGTGCTTCTTGTAGGTCAGAGCACGGTCCAGAGTGACTCCCAGGTATTTGGGTGCGCTGCAATGCTCCAGTGGGATTCCTTCCCAGGTGATCCTCAGAGCTTGGGATGCTTGTCTCTTCTTAAGGTGAAAAGCACATGTCTGTGTTTTAGATGGGTTAGGGATCAGCTGGTTTTCCCTGTAGTAGGCAGAAAGCTTTGGAGAGCTTCTGTTCTACCATCTCAAAGCTCCCTGCTTGAGCAGTAATGGCATGATCATCAGCATAAATGAAACTCTCTGTCCCTTCTGGCAGTGACTGGTCATTTTTGTAAATGTTGAACATGGATGGAGCAAGCACGCTCCCCAGAGGCAGGCCGTTCTTCTGTTTCCGCCATCTTCTTCTCTGGGCCTGGAACTCAACAAAAAAGCTCCTGTTCTGTATGATATTGTTTCTGGCACCCACTTTTTGCTTGATATTCAGGCAGTGCTTCTTGTAAGTCAGAGCATGGTCCAGAGTGACTCCCAGGTATTGAGGTGTCAGTGATACCAACCACAGACAACTTACTACAATGCAGTCTGAGCCCTGCCGCATGCACAACAGAAGACCCTCTTACAGTGACACCAGAGGCACTTGATTTTCACCTCATCGTCCTCAGAAAAATGTTTTACACCCAGGTGTTCCTCCAATTTAGTGAACAGATGATAGTCACTGGGTGCGAGATCGGGGCTGTGAGTGGGGTGACTTCAAACATCCCAACCAAATGAAGTCCACAACTCTTGTGTTGCATGAACAGTGTGCAGATGTGCATTGTCACAAAGGAGACAGACTCCCGCTGTCAGCATCCACAACATTTGTTTTATTTATTTATTTATTTATTTATTTACTTTGCTTGTATACCGCAATTTCTCAGCCTTGTAGGCGACTCAACGCGGTTTACAACAAGAGCAAAAGTCAATCCAACAGCATACAAAATTTAAAAACCATTAACAGCATAATATACAAAATGACACATCAATAACAACACATTAACGTCTCGTAACTAGAATCGTGATCCAATTCGTCTTCCATAATTCCATTTCCTATATTCATCGTGTACATTGCATTGTTTAACCGAACGCCTGTTCGAACAGCCAGGTTTTCAGTTTTCTTCGAAACACCATTAACGAAGGGGCTGATCTAATGTCCATGGGAAGGGTGTTCCACAGCCGAGGGGCCACCACAGAAAAGGCCCTGTCCCTCGTCCCCGCCAGCAGTGCTTGTGATGCAGGCGGGATCGATAGCAGAAGATCCCCAGAAGATCTTAGAGTCCTGGTAGGTTCATAAGCATAGATATGTTCGGATAGGTAGCTTGGGCCAGAATCGTTTAGGGCTTTAAAGGCCAACCCCAGCACTTTGAATTGAGTTTTGGATGGCTCTGCAAAGTTTCTTCATGGTCTCACAATATATTCCGTACCCATTTTGTCACATGCTGTCTTGATGTTATGTCCGTCTTCAAGGGCAGCCCCATGTAGAGTTTATTGCAATAGTTTGGATGTAACCAAGGCGTGGACCACCCTGGCCAATTCAGACTTCATGAGGTATGGTCGCAGCTGGCGCACCTCAAGTTTGAGTTGTGCAAAGGCCCTCCCGGCACCACTGACACCTGAGCATCAAGCGACAGCGTTGAGTCCAAGAGGACCCCAAGGTACGGACCTGCGCCTTCAGGGGGAGTGTAACCCCATCGGTATTGCCACCCAATACTCCAGTTGGCCCCGCGACTGACCAGGAGGACCTCTGTCTTGTCTGGATTACGCTTCAACTTGTTAGCCCTCATCCAGTCCATCACAGCTGTCAGACACTGGTTCAAGGTCTGGGAGGCTTCCTTGGAATTCGGTGGAAATGAGTAGTAGAGTTGGGTGTCATTTGCATACAGAAGAAGCCCCTCCAAGTTCAATAAACATAAAAGTACAATCCTGAATGAAAAATCACAGGGATAGGAAAATGAAAGGAAATTAAGTCTTTGTTATTTCATTGACTTTCTTTGAAAGGAGCTGATGGGAGCGGAATTCCTGCCTCTGATTACGATGGGATAATTAAAGTAATTTTGTAAACGATGGAACCAGCAGATTTTGGAGCATCATTAATTAAGACATTAAAGGGGTGTCATATTGAGGAAGTCACCAAGAGAATATAAAAGCCCTTGCCTCTCTACAGTCCTCTATCAGCTTCATCACTCGCCTTCTCTCGCCTTCTACTCATCTGAGGAACGGGTAAGCATGACTTCTCTGTTGCACTGAAATCTGTTATCTCTTTAATACGTTTTTATCACGAGCTATAGAATGTTACTGTCTTGGCATAAGGGTCTAACATCTGTATAAAAGCCGCTCACCTGATCTCTTTATCTCACAAAATGGGGAGACTTGTGTTTTCTTTCGGTACCTTCGGGAGCACGTAATGGTAAGGGCCCTCCCAGTACAAAACCCACTCGCAACGAAAACAAGTGGGAGCCGATCTCGGCTCTTCCTCTGCTTTTCGGCATCAAAGTTTAATCTTTTTTTATTACAGTAGAGTCTCACTTATCTGACCTTCGCTTATCTGACATTCAGTTTTATCCGAAGCTCTTATCTGACACCTGATCTCTTTATCTCACAAAATGGGCAGACTTGTGCACTGATCTATTTTCCTTCGGTACCTTCGAGAGCACATAACGGTGAGGGCCCTCCCAGTACAAAAACCCACTCACAACGAAAACAAGTGGGAGCTGATCTCGGCTCTTCCTCTGCTTTTCGGCATCAAAGTTTAATTTTTTTTATTACAGTAGAGTCTCACTTATCTGACCTTCGCTTATCCGACATCCCGTTTTATCCGAAACTCTTACCCGACACCCCTTTTTTTATCTAGCATTTCCCCTTCAAATAAAGGAGTGCTCCCCAACTCTCAATCCATTCCCAATAAATGAAAAAGACAAGACAAGGAGGAAGAGGAGGAAGAGGAGGAGGAGGAGGAGGAGGAAGAGAAGGAGGAAAAGGAGGAGGAAGAGGAGGAGGAGGAGGAGGAAGAGGGATCAAAGGGGGAAAAGAGGCAGGACCGGAAGTGGAAACGTCCTTCCCCCTTCCCTCAGTGATTTCCATGCTCCTCTTTTGCATCTGACTTGGCCATGGTAGTACACACTCTGGTTACATCTCGTATAGACTACTGCAACACTCTCTACGTGGGGTTGCCTTTGAAGACTGTTCGGAAGCTCCAATGGGAGGCAGCCAGGTTGCTAACAGGAGTGGCAACCTGGCTGCATACAACTCCTCGGTTGAGCATACAGGGAGCATACAACTCCTCGGTTGCGCCAGCTCCACTGCCTGCCAATCTGCTACCGAGCACAATTCAAAGTGCTGGCTTTAGCCTATAAAGCCCTAAACAGTTCCAGTCCTGCCTATCTGTCCAATCGTATCTCTCCTTACAAACCATCTAGGAATTTAAGATCTTCTGAGGACACCCTGCTCTTGGCCCTGCCAGCTTCACAGGTTCGGCTGGCAGGGACGAGAGACAGGGCCTTCTCAGCGGTGGCCCCTCGTCTGTGGAATGACCTCCCCAGGGACAGATGTTGGTGGAGTTCACAATGCTCTTTGACTGTAAGTGAACTATAAACCCCAGCAACTACAAGTCCCAAATGTCGAGGTCTATTTCCCCCATCCAGAGCTCTCTGGATGTAGGTGAACGACAACTCCACAACTCAAGGTCACTGCCTACCAAATCCTTCCAGTATAAAGAGTGCATCTACACCAGTGTTTCTCAACCTGGGGTTCAGGGAACCTGGGAGGGGGTCGCGAGGGTTTGTCAGAGGGGGTCACAGAAGACCGTAAGGAAACACAGATTTGTTTGTTGATCATGAGTATTCTGTGAGGGAAGTCTGGCTCAATTTGGTCCAGATCCATCCTTGTTTGATGGATCTGTTTGGGTCCACCTAGGTGAACTACAACTCCAAAACTCAAGGTCAATGCCCACCAAACCCTTCTACTATTTTCTGTTGGTCATGGGAGTTCTGTGTGCCAAGTTTGGTTCCATTCCATCATTGGTGGAGTTCAGAATGCTCTTTGATTGTATAAATGAAAGCAACTACAACTCCCAAATGACATAATCAATCCCCCGCCAATCCTAGCAGTATTCAAATTTGGGTGTTTTGGGTATTTGTGCCAAATTTGGTCTGGTGAATGGAAATGCATCCTTCATATTGGATATTTATGTTACAATTCATAACACTAGCAAAACTACAGTTATGAAGCAGCAACGAAAATAATGTTATGGTTGGGGGTCACCACAACATGAGGAAGTGTATTAAGGGGTCGTGTCATTAGGAATGTTGAGAAACACTGATCTATCTACTGTGGTGGTTCTCAACCTGGGGTCCCCAGATGTTTTTGGCCTACAACTCCCAGAAATCCCAGCCAGTTTACCAGCTGTTAGGATTTCTGGGAGTTGAAGGCTAAAAACATCTGGGGAACCCAGGTTGAGAACCACTGATCTACTGACTTGAATGAAATGAATGGAGGTCACCATGGAGCTCTATTGGTTCCATTACTGTTGACATTTGAACCTTATTTTTCTTTAGTACCTCTCATGATCCCTCTCTTGTCCTTCCAGACTCACCTCCATCACTCAACACCATGGCCAACTGTGGACTTGCCTCTGCTGTCCCATCTTCTGAAGCCACTCCAACCGTTGCCTTTGGATCCGGAGGCTCCCGAGGACTTGGTGGAAATCTTGGCTATGGTTATGGCTCTGCCTTCGGCTTCAGCAATGGATTCGGTTCTGGCTATGGCCTTGGGGGCAACGTTGCAGATGCTGCCAGTTTGGGAGTCCTCTCCGGAGTGAACCCATCTTGCATCAACCAGCTTCCTCCATCAGAAGCCGTGATCGACCCACCCCCATTTGTGCTCACCATCCCCGGTCCCATCCTCTCCGCCACCCCCGAGCCTCTCCTTGTTGGAGGCAACACTCCTTGCGCTGTGAATGGAGTTGGCCTTAGTGGAGTTGGTAGTGGATTTTATGGTGGGAATTACGGTGGGGTTTATGGTGGGATAAATGGTGGGCTAATTAGTGGGCTCAATGGTGGGCTATATGGTGGGCGCTATGGGCGTTCCGGATTCCTGGGAAGAAGTGGCAGCATCTGCGGCTCCTTTTTGTAAGTTCTCATGAACATCTGGCCCAGGAAACGGATCAACGAACCAACACACAACCAAAGTTTGACTTTAACTAATCTGAGCACTCCTTTCCCAGATCAAGTTCATGTCAGATGGGCTGGTGTTTGGCCCAAATCGAAATCAGGACCATCTCTCTGTTCCATGATTCTGCTTTCTGTCCAAACCAGTGGTTCTCCACCTGTGGGTCTCCAAGTATTTTGGCCTACAACTCTCAGAAATCCCAGCCAGTTTACCAACTGTTAGGATTTCTGTGAGTTGAAGGCCAAGACATCTGAGGACCAACAGGTTGAGGACCACTGGTCTAGATGTCTATCCCTACTGTTTATGTTTTTCTCTCTCTTTCCTTACAACCTTCCAACTGAGCAAATGTAAAAGCATAGGATCTCCGAACTCCTGTTATGAATGTACCACCCATATTCAAGGGGAAAAATTGGAGAGCCACCAAAATAAGTTATGATCATCTAGATCTCCCTCTCCTGTTGCCAACATAATAACTGTAATCGTCTAATGGAGACATTGTCCACTCACCTATGATCTTTATGTTTCGCCTTTTTCTGAACTGCTCGTCTTGCTTTGGAATTTGCCTACTTTCAAGTCTTCAATAATAAATGTATTTGCATTATAACACTCTGGTTTCCTTGGTTTTGTTACCACTTATGAGTGCATCACATTCAACTTACAGTTTGGAATGTGTCGACAACAGTTGAAAGCGATTCAACAATTCCCTTGTGGTATTATTTATTTCTCGTGTCAGGGCAGCCAGTCAATTATATTACATTTCTAACAGAACAAAGCAAACAAACAAACAGAGAAAATACAAAATGTCTGAGTTTGGTAGTTGATTAAATGTCCTTTGACCAGTGTCTGGCCCCTTGGAGTACTTCTGGTGTGGCTGCAAGAAGGTCCACCATTGTGCATCATGTGGCAGGGCTCAGGTTGCATTGCAGCAGGTGGTCAGTGGTTTGCTCCTCTCCGCACTTGCATGTCAAGGATTCCACATTGTGGCCCCATTTCTGAAGGTTGGTTCTGCATCTCGTGGTGCCAGAGCGCAGTCTGTTCAGTGCCTTCCAAGTTGCCCCGTCTTCTGTGTGCCCAGGGGGGGAGTTTCTCATTTGGTATCAGCCATTGGTTGAGGTTCTGAGTTTGAGCCTGCCACTTTTGGATTCTCGCTTGCTGAGGTGCTCCACTGAGTGTCTCTGTAGATCTTAGAAAACTATGTCTGGATTTAAGTCGTTGACGTGCTGGTGATACTGTGTTTGTCCCCAACAGCTTCCCCAGGTCTTCATTTCTTTATAGCAGGAGGGAAATGATAAAAAATTATTTATGTCTATGGTATTGCTGCCATAGGTGTTTCTCCCATTAAAAAAAAATTCATGGCGTGCTCATTTCTATTGTGGTCATAGAAAGAAAAACCTGATTTGCATAGAAAAGCGTTTCCAAACACACTGCTGAAACTTACGGTCTGTGGCTCCCTCTAGTGGGCAAAGATATCTTTGTCTCAAAGATGCATTCCTTACTTAAGCAATCCCTTGTGGTCCAAGTAGGATAGTCTTCCAAGATCGGTGTCCTAGAGGTGGGTCCATAGGTGACTGTGGAGCCCTCTTCTTGACCCACATCTTCTCCCACAGTGAGGACATCAGTTTCCAGATAGAAGGCGGTCCTGGTCAGGGTTGGCTTGACGTGCCTTCCTCTTAGCATGTTTCTCTCTTTCGCCCTCCATTCATGCCTCTTCAAATTCTGCAGCACTGCTCATCACAGCAGGAGTAATAGAGTTTTGTGTCATCTGCTAACAGATGTCACACAACTCTATGTATAAATACTATGTTATACATATATGATGTGCCAAGAGGAAGGCGCGTCAAGCCAACCCCGACCAGGACCGCCTTCCACCTGGAAACCAATGCCATCACTGCGGGAGAACATGTGGGTCAAGAATAGGGCTCCACAGCCATCTACGTACCCACCGCCAGGGCACCACACTTGGAGGACCATCTTACTTGGACAATGAGGGACTCAGTGCTGACGTTTGAAGCTCAGGTGGTGGTGGTGGCCAGAAGAGCCTTCACACAGTTAATCAGTTAATGCTTGTGTGCCAGCTGTGAACCAGTAAGGGTTCTAAGATAGGTTGGGGAGCCCCTCCTCTTGGTCCCACCACCATCTCAAGCACAGTTAGTGGGGATGAGAGAGAAGGCCTTCTCGATGGTGGCCCTCTGGGTTTGGAATGACCTCCCCAGGGATTTTAGGCAAGCCCCCACACTGTCCTCCTTCCGTAGGGACCTGAAGCCCTTGCTATTCAAACAAGCTTTTGAGAAATTCCATAGCTGATCTATGAATTTGTTATGCAGCCTTGCACTTTATCCAATGCCCTCAACCCAAGAGGGGGCACTTGGCTGCAGGCACTAGCAGGCACACACAATTTATCTCCTAGGATACACCACGCCAGCCAGCCACACTCTTTCTATTCCAAGGCATTTTAAGGAGGCTTCTTATTTCCAGGTAAGGAAGAGCAATGACCTTGTGGAAGGGGAGAGTAGCTTTCAGGGTTTGCGGTTTATGTTTTTGTTTGCTGGGGAATTAATCTGCCCTGAGTCCCTTTGGGGAGCTAGAGCAGAATGTAAATACAGTTTTATGATTATATCAATGAAAAAGATTAAACTGTGATATGCCGAAAAGCAGGCTTGGAGCTGGGATTGGCTCCCACTTGCTTTTGTGGTGAGCTGATTTTTGCACCGGAAGGGAGGTTCCTGTTACACGCTCCCAAAGTACTGAAAGAAACCAAAGGAATGAAAAAAATCAAAAGAAACAAAAAAACCCAGAAAAAAAGAAAGAAACGAAACAAATAAAAAAAATTGAAAGAAACGGAAGAAACAGAGGAAATGAAAGAAACTGAAGAAACAAAAAAAGAAAGAAAGAAAAATGGAAGAAACAAAAGAAATGAAAGAAATTAAAAAACAGAAGAATCGGAAGAAAGGAAAGAAATGAAAAAACGAAAGAAATGAAAAAAGCAGAAGAAACGGAAGAAACGAAAAAATGATAAAAATGAAAGAAATGGGAGAAGCAGAAGAAACGGAAGAAATGAAAGAAACAAAAGGAACGGAAGAAACAGAAGAAATGGAGGGAATGAAAGAAACTGAAGAAATGAAGAAAAGAAACGAAAAAAATGAAAGAAACGGAAGAAATGGAAGAATTGCAAGAAATGGAAGAAATGAAAAAAAAAACCCGAAGGAAATGGAAAAACAAAAGAAATGGAAGAAACGAAAGAAACAAAAAAAACAGAAGAAATGAAAGAAAGGAAAGAAATGAAAAAAACAGAAGAAATGGAAGAAACGGAGGAAATGAAAGAAACTGTAGAAACAAAAAAAGAGAAAGAAATTGAAAAAAGCAGAAGAATCAGAAGAAACGAAAGAAATGAAAAAAGAAACGAAAAAACAGAAAAAACAGAAGAAACTAAAGAAATGATAAAAATGAAAGAAATGGAAGAAACTGAAGAAACAAAATAAGAAAGAAACGAAAAAAATGAAAGAAATGAAAGAAATGGAAGAAATGGAAGAATTGGAAGAAATGAAAGAAATGGAAAAAAACAAAGGAAACGAAAAAAACAAAAGAAACAGAAGAAATGGAAGAAACAAAAGAAACGAAAGGAATGGAAGAAACGGAAAAAAATGAAAGAAACTGAAGAAACGAAAAAAGAAAGACAAAAATGAAAGAAACAAAAGAAATGGAAGAATTGGAAGAAATGAAAGAAATGAAAAAAAAAATGAAGGAAACGAAAAAACAAAAGAAACGGAAGAACCAAAAGAAATGAAAAAACAAACAAAAGAAACGGAAGAAACGAAAGAAATGAAAGAAACAAAAGAAAGGGAAGAAACGAAAGAAACAAATTTGGCACATAACTCTAGCATCCATAGGAAAATACTAGGCTTGGGTAACAACTGAAAAATTTGTTTCTAAACTCGTTTTGTTTTTAGGGGGTCCATTGCGTTTCGTTTTTTTGAAGGATTCCAAATTTTTTCTTTAAAAAAAATTGAAATTTACGAAATTTCGTAAATTTCGAATTGATTCGTTAATGGCGGACACAATTGCGCAATATGCTAAAAAAGAAACCTCCAAATGGGACAGGGGGAACTTCTGAAGCTTCCCTCTCCCTCTGTTGTTGACTGTTGGTGTGATAAAACAAACAACAACTATATTATATTATTATATATTATATTATATTATTATAATATTATTATATTATATATTAGGGCTGGGCAACCACGGAAAAATTTGTTTCTAAACTTGATTCGTTTTTTGGGGTTTTTTGCGTTTTGATATTTAAAAGAATTCCGAAATTTTTCTTTAAAAAAGTTCGATATTTACGAAATTTCGTAAAATTATGAAACAATACCCTCTGTTGTTGACTGTTGGTGTGATATTTATAATTTTTTTTCACTGATTAAACAAACAACAGCTATAAAACGTGCCCCAGACATGCGGAAATAATAACGAAACGATTTCGAAATGAATACGAAACGAATACGAAGCAATTACGAAACAAATTGAAAAATTCATTTCGTTTTGTAGATGCTCCTGAATGGTTCGTTATTGCTTCGTAACAAAAAAAAATAACAAATTTTTAACGAATTACGAAATTACGAAACGAAACCGCCCAGCCCTATTATATATTATTATATTATATTATACATATTATATTATATATTATTATATTATATTATTATAATATTATTATATTATTATATATTATATTATAATATTATTATATTATTATAATATTATTATATTATTGTATATTATATTATTATAATATATTGTATTATATATTATATATTATTATATTATATTACGAAAATAATTACGAAATAATTACGAAAATTGGAAAAATTGTTTCGATTCTTAATTACTCCTCACACTATTCCAAAATGGCTCAATATCGGATCGTAAGCTAATATAAATACGAATTAATAACGAATTACGAAATTAACGAACGAAACTGCCCAAGCCTAGAAAATACAATTCTGATTATGTTCCGAGATGTCTGGTGATGATGGTTGGAATCAGAGCCAGGGTTTAAGATGTCCAGCATCCAAAGGAATGAGAACACAACTGAGAGAATGAAGGAGTAGCATATGGGTTTCCCCATTAGTTGTATTAATTGGGGGGAGGAATGCAACATGGACCTATTCCAGAGTTTCTCTTACCTGCTTTCTAAAGGAAGCTGAGATGTTGACCAGGAGTGAGGCTTATATATACTCTCAGTCTCACTATCTTTGCTTACGTTGAAGTGTCTCCGGTCTTGAATGTTCATGAGTTTCCGGCCAATTGACTCACTGATGTCACATGCCAAATTACTATAATCACCAAAAAGTCTTTGGGCAAATGTCCT